AAAGTTTCCTTTCTGTGGTCCATACCTTTACGCATAATATATGGGAGTTCTATTGAATTTAACATTGTACTTGGGATGAAAAATTCATGGGTCTATTTCATAAACACTTATTGGTCATTTGTGGCTATTGGTGGCTTGGCCTAATTTTATTCAATTTAGACTGTTGCATCTGCCCTGAGTTCGATTTCCAACCAGAGTTGAACACGAAAGATGAGTCAACGGCACAACCCGGTCGAGTGTAGAGATAATGCCGAGAGGCCAACGACAGTTTACAAGAATCATGCTCATTCACTAGCGACGCGAGTTTGGTGGGCGGCGGGACTGGTTAGGATCAATCGTTGAGTGTGTTTAACCGGGTCTTGTTGACGCTAGCTTCATAACTTAGAATATACTTCCTATGGCACAATGCACTATATGTACCCTCCCATTTTCACTTGCAACAGACACATGAAATGAGTCGCTAGAAGTGCCTGCTGGCACAACCAAAACTAAGTATCAGCGTTTTGGTCATGTCACCAACATTCATATAAGAGAATGAATGTTGTGTATTGAGTTGTTTGTTAATGCATAATGATGTTAATCGACATAAAAAATCATGAGACTCGTGAGTATCATGAGACTGGTATTTGGGGGCATTTGAGTTTGTAGAATTTCAGACAACCAATTTATCAGAGTTTATGTAAACATTGAATGCCACTTGCCAATCAGGTTGTCTACTGTTGGAATTGCCTGATACGGGTTGAGGTTGCAAGTTAAAAACTGTTAGTATAGAGCCTGAATATGAATAATACTGAACACATACGTTAGTTGAGTCATTATTCAACAAACATCGAAATATGCTTAAATGCATCGACCAGCATTTAATTCATGTTATCATTTTTAGTTGATTTTGTGTTATCTCAAACCAAACAGTTTAGGTGATATGGTCCTGCCCTCGCCATCCAAGATACTGCTTGTCTGAGATAAAATGTCCGACAGACGAATTGTCGGCGCCAACAGCTCCGTCTCGCGGCGGATCGTTGTTTATATGTTTAACCTGTCTGTTTGCAGTGTGTGATAAGAAGTAATTAGGAAAAGACTGGCATCGAACTTGTCGTGTTTAGTCGTGTCATTTGACCCTTTGACACACAATGCATTTGTAATTACTATTTGCTTTTTGATATACATGAAATGAAAATGGCCATTTTAAATAGTTTGAGGGCTCATTCAATAAACCTTTTGACGTCTGTGTTTCAACTTTAGGATGTGCAGCGTATTTAATTATTGAGAAATTACACAGTAAGTCACAGTCAGTTATTCATGTTTGTGAATGTCGTAATTGTCTTTCTATTTACCAAAAGCAGTTCAGCTTCAGCTGAGGTGTGGGTTGTCGTTTCTCGTCCACCTCCAACGCTCAGACAATCCCTCAAATTTTCGGAATGTGTGGCAATTGCTTGATGGGCGATTATCTAGCTAACATGAATAACCTGTTAACATTTATTTCTTCAATGTTTTAATGAGGACGATTCTTTCCGACAATTGATAAACTTTCAACAGCTAACATGGAAATGGAAGCATATTTCACCAATGTAAAATCCACATAGCACTTCCACTGCTATCAAACTATGAATGCAAAATATCCATTGAGAAAAAACACAAATAACTATTGTACATTATTTTTTTCTCAAATGCACGCCATAATAATAATAAGTATATTCGACACTCATCTGTGTTCTAGTATGTTATAATGTGTTATACTATAGCTTTACTTTACTTGGTGTCACGAAAGATCACTGACCGCTATAGAATATTTGGTGTAAAATAGGTCAATATAAAAAGAGTCTTAATATCTATATGAATCCAAAAAATATAAGAAAAACCGTGACATATTAATTTAACCTAATTGTTCTTTGGTCTGAAGTTTCATATTGGTGGCAAAATATATCCAATTAGTGAATTTTTATTTCCAAAAATCTTCTAATTCTGTGTGTTGTGATGAGGTGAGTAAAACCCTACCTGGGCCCCTGTCCAGGCCTCTCAGCTCGAGATGAATTCATGTCTACTTTCATGTATGCCGCGTCCAATCATGCGACGAGTGTGTGTTTTCACTGGGTTTGCCTTTTGTGAAGCTATGTATCATGATTCCTTTGAGGGAATGACTCATACCGTCAGACGACACCATTTTATTCAACGCACATATTACAATTATTTAATCAGAGTTGAATAACAATTTGATTTCCCCCCAAGAATGATCATTCAAAATTTCAGTTTAAACATAAGTGTTGCTACAATAGAAAAACGTTTGAACAAGCTTAATATTTTGATTAATCGGCGTTCTTCTGATAACACTTATGTATTATATCATCCATATTTAAGTCAAAAAAATATATTGAATCAAAGAACAACGATGATATACAATTGACACTTGGCTTCCCTTGGCAGTCAATAATTTTCTTTATTGGGGAAAAAATTGCAACAGTCACGGGTGAACCATGTAAATTGTAGTACACTTCGGTTGAATTAACAAGGCATGTTTTAAGGACGACGGAATCAGTGCAGACATCTCTCACCATTGTGATAAGCCTGACTAGTAGTACATGTTCTGCTATTAAAACGTGAATGGGATATTTTCGTTGTAAAATAGCGGTTGAAATATTTTGAGTTTGCAAATGTCCATTCGAATAATATATATATATATATATATTCAATATGCTTGGATATTCAGCTTCAGTTTATGTGTGACACTGTAGACTGTGTTATTCAGTAGGGGGTGTATTGGCTGCGTATAGGAGTACTAGAATATTTAAATAGTTGTAAAATAGGTCAATACATAAAGAGTTCTAACTTCTCTATAAATTTAAAATATATAAAGAAAATCTTACCAGATTAATTTAATATAATTGTTCTTGTGGTTGAAGTTCCATTTGGGTCATAAAATAAGACAAATCAGAAATTTTGAATTTCCAAAAAAGATCTCAATTATGTGTTATTGTAAAACACCTACATGGGCCCCACTTGGGCCTCTCAGCTCATCGTACACTTTCATGGGTGCCGCGTCCAATCATGCAGTGACGGCGTGTTTTTCAGAAGGCTTCTGTTTGAAGCAGTATATATATGTTGTTGTCGTTTCTTTGTGAAAGGTTGGCTCAATAACACACGATCACAAGGTGCAGCCGCCATTTTATCTGATGCACATTAATATAATCAGCCAATACAATCAGGTGTGCCAGTAATTCGGGTTTCGTTTCCTATAGTATAGTAAATATGTGTGAATGTTATTAATTGGTGAATACTTGGCACCTTTTGGGCAGGGTTAAGGTCATGGTAAGCACCGCTGTGCTTGTGGTATAAATCACCATATATAAACATGTCACGAATTATATGTACCGATCGACTTCTTAAACCACAATATCTAACACTAATTTTTGAAAACAACATCAAAATACAGTTTAATAGTAATAGTATTTCAAAAGACGCGACTATCTTGATTAGCAGCATTGGTGAACAGAGACCCTTTTGCCTGTTCATATTTTAGACGTGTAGACCCCAGATATGTTGATATCGTGTGCAGGCCTATTATTCGAATGGTAACCAATAGCAACCAACTAGTTGGAAATTCCAGATAATAAATGAGTATTGAATACTCCAGGGTCAATCACGATGACTCATACTTAGTATGAATTCGCTTTGAGTCTTGGACATCGGTTACGTCGTTACTTCATTGTATTGTTTGTTTTTTTTATTACGAAGACGGCTGCTGGTATGTGAGACTAATTGAATCAGGCCGACAGTTATTTTAACTGCGCATGACGTCATCAAGAATAAATACAGGCAATTATAAGGTATGTTTATGGTGTAGTTCAATACTAGTTTTCAGTATATTTTCACCTTCACTATGTATTTTCATATCGCACGGCGCAAAATATATCAGTTTAATTAACTTTCACGTCTATACCAGAGCATTAATTAATGAACAATAAGTGTGTAAATTAGCATTAATTTTTATACTGTACTTTGAATTTGTGGATCATTTTTTTACTTACTGGGCCTAGTATGAACTCCTTTTTTTGGCCTCATCCTATTCGTTCTAATACAGTAGTTAGTGTGTATTCATCGTCACAGTCATACCCCGACCTCGTAATTGGCGTACGTGACATATTTTAGGACCAAATGCTTGCAATTGTACTGAAGCGTTTCCATTGTTTGTTGGGTTCTTTTATTAATCTTTTGCCATGCATTCTGTAGAATAAAAAACTTGACATTTTATACATTTTTGGAGAGCCAATTTTTTGAATGGTGGTTATTGAACAATACTGATTTACAGTCAGTTTTGCCAATTCAGTCAATGCGATGAATTAAATTACTGAAAGAGTGAAATCAATCTCGTCGTGTAGACTGCCTGCTAGTGTGGTAATACCAATCCCTATTTGTTTAAAACTTTGAAAATAATTGTTTCGTCCAGTTTAAATAAATAATTAGGAACAATAGCCAATGCCAACCAATTCGAGTGGGTAGTATTAGTGGGAAAGTTGCCAAGTGAGAATTCTGGGTAACAACCATACATGTTGAGTGATTCAACGAGAAAATCCAATGACTCAAGCTTTCACACTGAGTATTCATTAACTGGTCTACTTTTATCTCAGTCAAACCGTGCTACGCCTCCCTGGATTCGTCTGGTTCTGACTGGATGTAACTGGTTGTTTGAACAACATTAATACCATAACAACTTGGTAGGTGATTTGTAGATATTTTAATTTTCTTACAATGCCAGAGACAATCCAATAATTGACGAAGTTTATTATCCGATTATTATCGAAGCAAACGATGTTCTTTATCCAGGTAACTGGTGTGTTTTGAGCTACTAGAATAGACGCCTACATGGACTGTTAATGTTAGTGTTATTTTTTTTATTTTATTGAACGTGCAGTTACTGTGAAAGGAAGGTGATGTCAGCTAACGACAGAGCCGAAAAGAAAAAAACAGAAAAAGAACCTTCACAAAATACCCCACCAACAGTGGATATGGACCCAGAGGAAACTGTAGAATTTCAGGCAGCCGTGGCGTTAAGCGATGTTGACGCCAATGAACCACAGAGGATGCGACCTAAAGACGAAGGTGAGCGCGGTTAATAGTCATTCGTGGTATAATCCGTATTTAAAACAGACTCAAATAATAAGATTTGTTTTCTTTCATTACATTATTCAATGGACCCCAGTGTTCAGTTGGTAAAATCCTTCTAATCCCTCTCATGGTTGGCTGTGGGGTCCTTTTTATTTGTTCCCATTCACGTTGGCAAGTGTGTTTGCTGGACTGGCTATACACCCAGTGTACTTCTGGAGGTCGGTCATATTGCGAACTAAACATCGTAAATATCGCATTTACACTCTGCATACTTGGACAAAATTACTTCTACCTGCACGAACATGTTTATTTGTCATCCATTGTAGTATTCAATGTATTTGATGTTGCATATTTGTTGTCCTTTCAGGAAGAAAACCAGATAAAGAACAATGATATGCAGTATATTGCTCGTCAGCTTGTCGATGACCGCGGTGTACTCCGGAAAATTTCCCTTGTCCTGAGACAACCGCTACAAAATATGCACTAACAACGCCCCGAATCAGAACATTTTCTATTTTGAGGCTATGTCTACCATCCGTAACTTTTGAAGGCGTCTTTGACAGATTTTGAATGATGCGCGAGTGCAGAATTCAACGAACATATACCGCGAACTATAACTACATATGAAGCCGTATGAACGACTATGCCGCTGAGGGCGCCAATCACACACTACCAGTGTTCAGTAGTATACGTGCACAGTTTCTTTTGTGGTCTTTTCATTTGCGAATTTTTCAATAAAAAACACTTTCTCACATTTCGATGATATTTGTGTACAGTCTATGTTTATATGAAAGTAAAACCTACTGCTTTTTGGCTTTGGTCAATCGTGATAAATAATTGTTGATATTCAGCGTACATTTTCGAGAGCATTAATGTGAATTCGCATGTAATCCGAGTGTACACTTGTTTGTAAGTCTATATTGCATAGCCTATGGTGATTCCTCAGCTCCTGAGAGGAGGTTATTTGTAGATATGTTGGCGATCGCCGCTGTGTCTGCGGAAGTACTATGGGAGATTGCATGATGGGAGTGAAATATCTTTTGATCAGTAAACTTATTTTAGAAAAGTGAAAACTAAAGTGACTGTGAAAAAGGTTGGTTTTAAATATTAAATACCATGAAATCTGGATGTAATAATGAAAGGAAATTGAACTGGTATTAAAGGACAGTAAATGTAGCCAGAATACAAGGTCAGAATCCGGGGGTCAAAATACGTCACAATACATCCATCAAGGCGGTTGTAAAGTGTCAACAACTATGGATGAGGTGCTTCACTAACAATATTTGCTACTTGTTTGTGCAATGAAAATCAATACAAGAAATGCTGCCAAAGGTTATGTCCTTCTAGTAAACAAAACAACCTTGGGACGTGTTTCTTGTACTTAATGATTTGATACCAGCATTAGCTTTATGTCTTTATTTTGGCCCAGGATTTGGTCACTGCATTAATACAATGCTATGAAGTCATTTGAACTATGGAGATATATAATTGTCGGCGATTACCACCACAATCACATCCAAAATAACACTTACATTCTGTCATCGTTTTCGCAATAGCTGGAGCTCACAGAAACAGTTGTCTCTTGTGTGTCAATGACGACATAGACAAGTTGCCTAACTTCGTCAAAACACTGAATTAAACACTGGTGGCGCTAAAGCGTAACTTTCTGGATATATCGTATATGTTTCTCGTCGGTTCAACAGTCGTAGACACCTGAGACTTGCCTTGAGTAAGATTGACAATAAAATAGTCAGCTTATTTTTATTTCACGTCCACAATTTACCACTGAATTTGCATAAGAAGTTACAATCAACATTACATATAAGGAAACTCTCAAGTTACCTGTCCATGTTTTCAGGGACTATCGTTCAATCAACATCAGAAAACCAGTTTGAAACATATACCCTAAGGTACCCAAGGATAGAAACGATAGTACATAGTTCACATCGGCCCGTAACCGAAAGTATGACACGTTACACACGTAGTAAACGACTGGTCGAGTTTTACATCTTCTCTTTCGGAAACAGTGACCAATATCCCCTTAATCCGGAGTATATCATACGATGACTACCAGTAAGATGGCAGGGGCGTATCTACGATTTCATAGATGGGGTCCAAAAATGTTCAATAATATAATTGGCCTGTAGAAGGCGCTTTATAAGCCATGGTGACCAAAGTCAAATTGCTCCAATTAAAATAATATTGTATCTGATTATACATAGGTAAATCCGCGCTTTTCATCGAACCAATACTATTTAAGACTCCCTATATTTTTCGAGCATCCTATGATTGTAACAATATTTTCGCCAATGTAGGAATACATGTTGAGTGATTCAACGGAAAAATCAAGCTTTTGCAATGAATATTCATTAACTGGTTTATTATCTCAGTTTCTACGAATATAACTGGTTGTTTGAACCACATCAAAACCATAAATTATTTGGTGATGTGTAAATATCCTAATTTTGTCACAATTACTATCCGATTATTGTCGTGGGTTCTCGTTACATTTTAAATAAATATTATTGTGTGATATTGTTTTCTGTCGTGTTGTGGAGAATGTTTTAATTGTGGATTATTAGTGTTATCTTTTTGGTCGTGCAGTTACTGTTAAAGAAAGTGGTGTCGGTTAAAGACAGTGACAAAATAAAAAAAATTAAAGGTTACTACACCGCCGATAATGGATATGGACGCCAATTAACCACAAAGACAACCTAAAGAGGTGGGTGAGCACGGTTTATAGTCAATGTGGTATCTGTTGTATTTGTCCCCATTCACGTTAGTGTGTTTGATGGACTGGCTATTTGGCTATATCTGAAGGTCGGTCTTTTTGGCAAAAACCTCGTCAAAGTAAACATCGTATTGACAATCTGGATACTTGGACGAGATGGATCACTTCTACTTGCACGGACATGTTTATTTGCTGTAACTACATGAAACAGTATAAACGACTACGCCCGCTGAGGGCGCCAATCACACACTGCGTGCACAGTTTAATTAGTGGAATTGTCTTTTCATTCGTGAATTTTACATACCATTAAATATCATTTTCTAATTTTGGCAGGACTGAGCATAATTATAACCCCTAAACCCTTCAGGCACCCCCCCCCCCCCCAATGACTTTGGATCCCATATATCTGCACGTACATTGGAGTAGCGAATATGAAACACAGATTAAATACAAGGGCTGTTTTTTTCTTCAAGGTGTATTGACAGTAGAGAATTCACCAGTTTGTTGGTTGTTTCACTTCAATTAAATTTGTCAGAAGCTTTCATGTGTTGGGCAAAGCATCGTGATCATTATAATAGTTCTCCTAACTTCACAAACCTTTCTCATTACAAACTGTGGTGGCGCTATTGTTAAGTCTATAGAGGTGAAAACTCTTTATTCAATGAAATTATTTGTATCGTTAATCAAATGAGCCTGGCATGGACTTTGTAAGTTAAAAACATTCAAAAACAGATTTACTAAATATGTTGCTTTATTTGCCAAAATTTTACATTTACATGGGTCATTCACCCATAAATCTATACATTACACAATATTTTTATACCATTAAAATGAAGGTAAATGCAGTTATATCAGAGATTGAGCAACATATAATTGGTTGAGAAGCAGTTTTAATATTAGCAGCATTAAAGCTACCAATCCTTGCCATTGTAATATGCATCTCATTAGCATCATGTGTCTTGTGTCCCATTGTAATTTTAATCTACTAAATACATTTGTGAGAACAACAGACTGATATGACGCCCATTACTAAATTGAACTGGTATACTATAAATGTAATAATAATAATAAGTATGCATTTATATAGCGCCATAAATCCAAAATTAAATGTTTATAGGCGCTTAACAATATAAAAGAAATAAAATTATAAACAAACAAAATAAAAACTACTGAGTTTCAAAAGTCTGTCTAAAAAGATGAGTTTTAAGTTTCTTCTTAAAAATGTCAATATTGTCTGAGAGTTTGATATGTAGGGGTAGTTCATTCCATAAGGCAGGAGCAGCATTGCAAATGGCTTGATGACCGAAAGATTTGGTACATGTATTAGTTTTTGGAACGTGGAGTGTAGACTGCGGGTGGGTTTGTACGATGAAACAAGTTCGCAAATGTAGGATGGCAGGGTGTTGTGAATTGCACAAAACGCGATTAACATGATCTTGAAATTAATGTGTTGTTGAACAGGAAGCCAGTGTAGGTTGTATAGAACTTCAGTGATATGGTCAAATTTCCTAGTCTTTGTAATGAGGCATGCCGCTGTATTTTGAACAAGCTTGTGAATATTTGTCTTGGCAATGCCGTAGAAGAGACTGTTTCTATGGTCAATCCTTGATGTTACAAATAAATGTACTAAATGTTTTGTAGTTGCATTAGTTAGGTACTTCCTGATGGAACTAATATTGCAGATATGAAAGTATTTATGCACACGAATAAATACTCCATATCATCTAAAGTTATCAGATATGTTTTGTAGGCGACGTATGAAATGCAGTATACAAAATGCAACAATTCAATGCAAATACTGCATTTATACTATCAGAAGTACATGTAAACCAGAAACTGTGTTTATTGTATACAAGATTAAACTTTGACAAGTTATGATCATAGACCCGCAATTTAAGACTTTTCAGCAACTATCATAATACATGCTTGATTTTCAACCAATGATTCGCTTACATGTCTTTGCAAAAATTACAATGGTGTGGTCAAATAATGATTCAGTATACAACAAATGCAATTTTTGGTTGATATATGCTTCAATTGGAGATGCACTTCTAATAGAGTGAATACTGTAAATCCTAGGGTAAATTTTACGTTAAAGAACAACATGGTATATAAACACAGAGTCACGGGCGGAGTCTATTATACAAGTGAATTGGCCCTCACCTACAAAAACAACGATAACTAAAAGCTCCACAAAAACATGAGAAAAAGTCTGTTAGACCCTTATATTCTAAGTTTATTAGAACACATGCTGGATGTTGGGATTTTAGGTTGTAAGATACAATTCAGCCATGGAGTAGAAAAATAATTCTGGTTGACATGCATAATCGTAACTACTGATTTTGGTTCATGCTTTGGTTCATATGATAAAAACTTAAATTAAATTTGGCAGATGATACAGCTTTAAGTTCAATCTAAAATAATGCAACATTTACAAATATAACCAAAGAATCAGTGAAAAAAAAACATGTACATGTATTTAATACATCAGGTCAGCTTGTAACCCACGCAAATGTTTACATTGAGATAAAGAAAAAAAAAACAGATTTTTTTCATAATTTTGTTCTACTTTGATTTAGTCACTTAAAAGCTAATGTGTAAAAAAATATTAAAGCTACATGTACAAGGGGCATCAGCGAGCACAAGCTTTCAGACATGTATTTCATGAAAAATTTAATTACATGAGTGCCATAAGGATAGTTTAAAGCGGGGGAGTCATCACCTGCACATCCATCAAATGGTCATAGCGTGTCATTGTTTAAAACAAGTGTCCACCCATGAGCCTTTGCGTTTTCAGCGTCGACTCAATTCCCACACGTGCACATGTTTAGTCCCAATAGATCAAAATGCTTATCCAAGATAACACATTTTCAAAAAAAAAGATGGCTGCCAGTAGGCAATCTTGAATCAAATCACTATTAAACTACTGCATGTGCATATGTCCCACATAAAGTACTAGGCACATGCAAAACATTATCAGGTTATAGAGGGTTCTGAAATATGACTACAGACATAAGGAAACCAAATTATAAGACTCTGTTCTGAACTTCATTAAAAAAATTGCAAACAAAAGTGCAACAATCAAAAACCTACAGCTTTGTACCTGAAAAATGATACATTCTTTGTGAAGAAAAATATATATAATCACAGCAAAAAAAAGCAATCAACCATTATCAGTAAACACAGGGAAGCAGGCTCGACTAGCTTCGCTACAGCTATTTCTGCTTCCCAGCCATATTATACACATTTACTTTTGTTCGTTTGTTTATTTATTTATTTGTTTGTTTGTTCATTTGTTTACTTATTTATTTATACTTGTACATTTACCGGTATTTATTTACTTACTTCCCATTGCAACTTTTTTCACATTGTTTAAAATGGGAAATAAAACAACAACAACAAAATACTTCGTCCATATCCATTTATGCTCCTACGACGCTTTCTGCTTCATGGTATTGTCCTCCTTTTCTGAGTCACTCTCACTGCTACCACTGTTACTACTGCTGCTACTGTCATCATGCCCATCACTCCCAGTTGTGATTTTTTCAGTGTTAGCTTTCTGTTGAACAATGACATATGCATGAAAACCAAGTCTTCTTCAATTAACATACGTGATCTATACATCTTCATAAAAGCAAATTGAGGCAATGACCAACAGCAATCATAGCATAAGGTTTATAAATAAAGTAAAAAGTAGTGAAATTAACTTTTAACAGTCCTCATTTTCAAACTGATTTTGGCAGTTTTTTTGACAGATGATCTCTAACTTAGGGTGGGGTTTGACATAACAGACAATAAACACATTCTGTGTTGGTGGACGCAATAAATGCACTGATTGTCTGAAAAACTAGGTTATACATCAAGCCATAACTACTAAGCTGACTAAATATAGAAGATATAAATTGTCTGAATTTGGAAGGGGGGGTGAATTTTAGAACACAATATATAACTGAAGACTTCACAAAGAGTCTGGATAGTGGATTTTTAGTTTTATGTTATCTTATTTCTTAGGTAACCCTCACAAATGCATGAATCAACAAATTTTTAGACTCACTTATTTACCTACAACAGTATTCATAAAAACTTTGGTCAATACGTGTCAATAAAGTTGATGAACAAAAACTCAAAGAATGAGCCTGAGTACTAAATGGGCAATATACCATATCACTTGAGAGGTGAACTTTCAAGCTTGGCTTTTTCTTTTATTTGCCAAAATGTCTGCTTTATACTCTTTTTATTCAGTCATCAGAAGTGAAATTGTTGAAATACTAATTATATGTATTTCACAAAACAGTATTCTGATATTTCAATCAATAACATTTTTTTAGTATTGATGATATTATTCGCCGGATAATATACCGTTTCTCACATTAACACTATTCAGCCATTGCACCACAAACAGACATCTATATTAACACATAACCTGCTAATAGCTTTGTACATATATAGCAAAAATAAATGGCATCACTGTAGATTGAAATTGAAGAACAGACAACTTCCTATCAACTTACCAAAAATACTGCCTCATATGAATCTATCTCAGCATGACGCTGTAGAGATTTCAACACTTTCTTCAAGTCACTTTGAGTGTTTTCGTAGTCAATACTTCTTCGGGGAGGCTCCAATGATAGTTCAATTTCAAGTGCTTGTTTCAGATAGTTGTGAGCTATATTATACAATCTGTCACTCTTCTCTGTGGGCATGCAAAAGGAATAGCACATCTATTTACAAATACACATAATTTCAACACATACTAAATCATATCAGACCATTTCACACATACCAAAAAATGCATGCATTGTGCACTGAATTATTAAAATATGACTTACTTTCTCCATAGAAACATACAAGTAATGTAAGCACATTGTGCTTCTAAAGGTGCAACTGTTTCGTTCAGTGCATCAAGGGAAAATCTTTACACAGGAGACAATTAACAAAATAAATAAAAGTCATGTATATTTCAGGAAATAATTTTTTCATGAGAGAATAACAATTTAAGTTGTATTATGGCAAATTATATTTGCAGAAGTCAAACTTGTTGAGTCAAATGCTGACAAAGACATTCTGCATTCAAGACATATAGACAAGATGGTTTTGTCTTTTCAAGTACACCAAATTCATGGAGATTCATGTTTGCTAACTTTAACAGGTTGTATTGTACACAGTGTTTGAAACTAAGGCAGACCCTTGGGTTCGAGGCATAGAACTTTACAGTAGGGCTGACAAGATCAAAAGCCTGCTTTTTGAATTTTCTGATGACTTAAAAAATGATAAATACTATTCAACACGACAAGCATCTTTCCATTTTTATTTTTGTTCATATATTTTTTGGGTCAACAACATTCAAGCAGGCCCTTGATCTGCAGGCCCTAAAGGCCATCAACCTTTTGACTGACTGATCACAGCTCATAAATATGCACATCAGATACATACCTCTTTCTTCAGCACTCTCCTCTTCGGCAGCTTTATTCCTGGCTACATCACCTTGACTCAGATAAATAGAACCAACAAAATAGACACTTCTGGCTGTATCTGGATGTTCCTTGCCTAGGTATTGCATTCTGATCTCCATTGCTTCCATTGCTAAGGTCAGTGCTTTATCGAATTCTTTCATCTCTGTGTAAGTCAGTGCCTTGTTCTTGAGCACAACTGCAGTTTTGGGAAAGCCATAGATCCTCATATCCTTCTCCAGAATAATAGCTTTGTCATACTCAGCAAGAGCTTTGTTGTAAAAATCATTACCATCTTCTTTATTGCCATCCTCATGTGCTTTGTTTCCCATCCAGTGATAGCATGTACCAACATTTAGTATGAATGTTGGCATGTCTAAATGAATTCCCTTGGTAGCCACACTATACAGGACTTCCACTGCTTGCTTGTGGTATTTCAGCGATTTATCAATCTCTTTAATAGAGAAATAAGAATGGCCAATTGCATTGAGATTCCTTGCAACATAAGTGTGTTTCTTCAGCAATTTTTTTCGTGTTTCCAGTGACTTTTTAAGCATCTTGATTCCATCCTGCACTTCACGAATCATAACTAAAGATCTGCCTTGTACATACTCGCAAGCTGCTAAGGTGAGGTCATAGTTGCTGCTGGATTCACCCTTTGAAGCAAGATCTGCTAAGATTTTGAATGGCTCTTGTAAAATCTGCAGTGCTTTATGAGCATGGGCTAGTGGCATGTAACTGTCTGCTTCTAGAGCCCTCATGAAGCAATACTTAATCTGCTTCCCTTGCTTCTTTGTAATTTCTGCAAAATTATGGAATAGCTCAATTCGTCTGTTAGGACCTAGGTAGTGCTCAAACAAGAGGGTAATGGACATTCTCTTTCTGTGATCTTTTTTCGACTCTATCTCTGGCACTATGCCAAGCTTCACCATCAATTTCAAGTAGTGATCAAGATTGGTTCTGTTATTTTTTAACACGAGCTGCATGACGGAATGGTAGTCAGTTTCAACTTTGGATGCATTCTGGCACAACAACTGATCATAGTAATTAACATAATTTCTCTGCCCTTGATCATAACTGTTCTGCAAGTTCTCATCTTTTGCCATTTCATGAAGGAAAGACCGCACTAGAGGATGCAAACTATACTTCTCGACTTTATGCAGGCGAAGATTCCGGAATTCAACAGTAGGTTCAGAATTGACAACTTTCCATAGATTGACAAGTGGCTGAATGATTTCTAATTTGGTCATGGCTTCATCCCCAGTACCTATCACACCTGTAGCTGCAGCCTGGTCTAACGTGCTTGGGAAAACAGAAAGCTTCAACCATGCACGCTGTAGCTCATCAGGCAATGCTTGGAAAACATACTGTAAACACTGATCAACAGGTTGATATCTATATGTCAGTGTTTTCATCGTTCTGCCCTTCTCTGGATTAAGTTGCATGATTATTTCCTGTGCAGTGACACCACCATCAACCAGACGACTAGCGATGATTCTCAGGGCTAATGGCATGTTACCCGTCAATGTGGCTAACTCAGCTGCATCAGAATCAGGGACTCTGTCTGTACCTGCTAATTTCTGCAGCAATGCAATAGACTCGTACTCCTTGAACGGTTTTAACTCAACTTGTTTGAAAGAAAGGGAACCAAATCGTGCTTCTCGTAGAGCATACCGCGAAGTGATCACTACTTTCAACCGACTGTTTTTCACTTCAAGTAATTCGTAGAGGGTATTGTGGAAATCATCACATGTATAGCTTCCAGGTTCCAATATGTTATCAGCGTTGTCAATTAGCAATATTGTATCTAAAAAATACAGTACATATGAGAATGTGTGTCAGATAAACTGTACTATTAATAGCATGCATGAAAACCAGATGACTCAAGTGTATATGCTGATTGAAGGGCAGTAGTCGTCTCACTGCGCTCATTCCACAATCCAATGTGCTTTTCTAATGGAAATCACAAGTATGAGGTTCGACCTGGGTGCGACTAGCACTAATTACCACTTGTGACTCCTTCGATACCTTCTAAACACCTAACAAAATACCTTATTAAAGCTTGGTAACGTCTCAGTTTGTACTCGTTGATCTGCGCAACAGTCAAAGTCGCCATCTTTGTTTATATGAGACCCATATATCTTGCGCATACGTGGCGCGACGACTACCGCCCTTTAAACATATTTCTATGTGCAACATTTATAAAATTGGCTATATTTACAATGTTTCAAACAAACATACAAATTATGTTGTACAAGTTCATTAAAAATGCATATTTATTACCAGAATATTAATTTAACCAATTTGTGTCTGTGTTCATTTTAAGAGGAGATATCTTGGTAAATTTCTGTAACATGTAAAAACATAGTTGAACTCTGGTGACCTTGCCCTTTGTTATATAATATAATTCCCTTTAACATATTTTGTTTCAATATAAATATGCATTGTCATAATTAATTTTGAGTACAAGCAAGTTTTGGGGTTGAACCAACAGTGGGGAATCAGTCTACCGAATGTCCTTTAAAGATGTAAATATCTTACAAAAACATTGGTGCCTTATTTGTTTAATTATTTTAAGGGACATAATTTCCAGTTTTATTCAAAGTAATTCAGATATTTTAGTATAAAAATAAATGCCTCATCGCAAAAAAAAGTGCTGCATTT